TGGATTAATTGCGTTCAATTAAATTAGTGTGTTTTTCCAACCTGTTTTTCATTACAAAATCCTACACGATTTTTTCTTCCACTGAAAATAATTAACTTTATAGTACAGTACTTCGGTATCGTGCAGGTAATTAGTATATGTAAATTATCCCTCATTTCGCGCACGTATTCACGATACTTACCCAAATGAGTTTAATCATTAAACCTCATATAGCACAGTGGCAAATAAACGAAATAACGTAATAAAATTTATTCCAAGCCAATCCATTACATTCCCTGTACTCTCTTCTTTTATTTTCAACATCCACATCGTCGTAACTTCTGTTTCATCGGTCATTCTTAATACAAACGAATCGTCAGTGCCATTCACTTCCTCCATAAATAATTCAGCAGGCCGGGTGAAAAGAAAAAAGAAACGAACGTAAATAGTATGCAGGATCACGAGGCAAAAGGCTCGAAATTAGCCTGAATGCATGATATAACGATACCGTGAAATATTACACAATCTTCGTGCAATCACGTCGCAGCGTAATCGTCGCAGCGTGAACCGTTTTAACGAGAGTCAAGGCCTCTTGACAAGCGAAAATTAATTCCAGTCGGCCGGAAGAAAATTAATACTATTCGTTAATTAATTTACACCGAGCCCGTTAGCCCGACGGCTTTGATACCGTGTTTTTGCTTCGATTAAACACAACGCGACGGTAGTTCTATTCAAATGCAAGAAGCGCACAGGATGCAAGTCGACGATCAGATTAAACAAAGATAAATATACGATAGCGAGCCTAATGGATTACCAGCATCTCGTTTAGGATTTTTTGATCCGTGATCCTGCGTTCGGTGAATTTTATCAATTTGTTGTACCACCGTGTATAATGATCGCAAACAAGCGTGCAATTGGAGATAATTCGTTTAGCAATTTCTGCGGTCTCTAACTGGCTTTCGTGTTTCGCTTCATTGCTTCTGGGAATAGTTAATAATGTTGTAAGAACAAAAATGAATTCGTAGTGTGCGTTTCTTAATTCTTTGCACTCCGAATTATTTTTCAATTTTGTTGCCAATAATTCCCTACTATTTTAACCCTTTGCACTGGACAACATTTTGGTTAAAGAAGAGTAGGAGTTCAAAGATTTTCTGCTATAAAGCTGACGATATTTTTTGGAGTGGTAAATAAGAAACCGTATAAGAATTAATACATGGAATTATTTGATTTCGATATTTCGCATATCATTAGATCATGTTAAATTTTTATATATTAGTTAATATCGATCTTTGAAATTTTATTAGGTGACGACTGATTATATATAATTTCAGACACTCTCGAGTGCAAAGGATTAATTATTTTGTTTGAAATTTACTTCACAGGACAGTTCCTCGACTGCTACTTATTTTAAAGAATTTTGTATACTGATTATATTAAATATAGCTCTCAAACATTGTTATAATTTATATTTTGAATTAAAGTAATTCAAGTAGTTATTTTCTGTTCTCTTGGTTGGTAAATAAAGAATTATAAAACATCGAGTGTAACGGGTTAAATGTGATCACCTAATTGTTTGAATAATTCTCTAATAAATTCTTTCTATTGAAGATGAAAATAATACAATGAAAACACGTTACAATCGTAGGGTATTGAATATTTTTATTTTTCAATTTTTCTATGATGTTTCATAACATATTTTAAAAATGAAATATTATCATATTAAAAAAGAGGGGATAAGAAATTAAAAAAATTATATTTTCATTAACGATATTAAGATCGAGAAGAGTGTCATCATGAAAAGAAAACGATTGATGGAAATTATTTACATAAGAAACATTTGGCATAAAATTAAAATTCACGTTAATTTTTTAAATAACCTAAATTATTTCAGATAATACTTAAGTATATTATCAATGAGATAAGTGGTAAACTTATTTTCTTTATTACGTTTCTAAATAAAAAGAAATCAATTCTAATCCGAAAATCGTATTTTCATTAGATCACTCATATGATAGTACAAAAATGAATCACTTTCTAGAACCTATGAAGAAATCATTCTCTTTAATTTCATTTTCTTATATCTGTAACTCGAATCTGGAAAGCGATGAAAATCATTTTGCAATCTAACTTTTCACATGAATTTCCATTTTTGCGTCTTCACTATCAGATAGTTAACCGTGAATTAAATTACAGTAGTCTAAATTATACCTCAGGATAATGAGTATATAAAACTGAAGAAAGTCTCTTTAAATCATTGTTTGACATTTAAAAATTAGATATTTTGTAATCAATTGCTCACAATCCTATATTTGAATTTACGAAAAAGATTTATTCATGTAAACTTATTACATTTTTAGATAGTTTATTCACTGATTTGCAGAATAATTTTTGGAGAAAAATTTCAAGTTTCAGCAACAAAATAAATTCCACGCAGCAGCTACCATAATTTAAAAAATTTCAAAATTTCCTTTTAATCCCATATTTTCCAAATATCAAAAGAAATTGGAAGATAGGAAGAAAAGGAATCGACTTTTTGAAAATTCTATAGTATCTATTCCGAAGATCAAGTCAGATGGAGTCAGAAGCGTGTATCTTCTACATTTTCCCAATTTAACAGCAGTTATCATAATTTTTTAAATTTCTAAATTTCCCTTTAATCCCATATTTTCTAAGTACCGAAAGAAATTGGAAGATAGAAAGGAAAACAATAGACTTTTTCAAAATTCTGTAGTATCTATCCGGAAGATGAAGTCAGATGGAGTTAGGAGGGTATATCTTTTACGTTTTCCTAACTCAACAGTGACTACTATAATTTTTAAAATATCTAATTTTACCTTTAATTCAATATTCTTTACATCCCAAAAGAAATTGGAAAATATAAAGGAAACCAATCTATTTTTTGAAAATTCATGTAGTATCTACCCGAAAGTGAAGTCAGATGGAGGCAGGAGTGTGTACCTTTTGTATTTTCTCAATTTAACAGCAGTTATCATAATTTTTAAAATTTCTAAATTTTCCATTAATCCCATATTCTCTACGTACCAAAAAAAATAGAAAGATAGGAAGAAAAGGCATCAACTTTATAAAAATTTTATACTATTTATCCAGGAGGTGAAGTCAAATGGAGCCAGGAGCGTGTATCCTTTTCGTTTTCGCAATTCAACAGCAGTTATTATAATTTTTAAAATATCTAAATTTACCTTTAATCCCATATCTTTTAAGACCCAGAAGAAATTGAAAAATATAAGGAAAAGGAATGGACTGTTTAAAAATTCTACAGAAGTAGAATTCCCAACTCAACTGTGCATACTTCGTGCATCATAATCGGTCGCTCAGTTATCGCTGTGGGATCGAGCGTGGCAATAAGCGTATCGAACGACACGTTCATAATTTATGGCATCCTCTGTTCTTCGTCAAGGTTGTAGCGTTGGTCGGTGATTTTTTCCCTTTTTTTTCGAACGACATTCAGTAACAAATGCAACGGGGAGAAGGGAAGGATCTCGGTTCAGCGATCACGGCGGAAACTGTCGCCGTTTGTTCACGCGAAATCCATTCACCGCGAGTGTAACCATTTCACTTTTATGAATTATTACCATTGCGATCGACCGACGATCGACCGTGATTCGTCGTTGCTTTTTCCTCCCGATTTCTTTCGCAATGTCTCGTTAGGGTCTATGCGAGACGACCAGGAAAAAAGCTTCGCGCCAATTAAGGTGAATTTTGAAACAGAGCAACGGTGAAATGAGCAATTTTTTCTGCATTTCTTGATCTGGCAACGAATAACATTAACCGTTTAACTCTTATTTCAGAAATTATTTATGTGATTTTATGAAATACAGGTTTATTTTGTCAATAATTTTAAGGTAAATTTTAGCAGTAATATTGCGTCAATTTTTGCAATAATATAGGGTGGGAAAGATATTAATAGTATATTAATAGTAATGTTTAATATTAATATTAATAGTATATTGCAATAGTAGTTGTAATAATGAGTTTTATAATTAATTGTGATTTATTATGATAATAAAGGATATAAATTTATCACAATTTGAGACAAGTCAATTTTAGCAATAATATAGCGTAGGGGAGATATTAATAGTATATTGCAATAATATATTAATAGTAGTTGTAATAATGAGTCTTATAATTAATTGTGATTTATTATAATAATAAAAGATATAAATTTATTAGAATTTGAAACACGGTAGGGATGTAGAGATCAAGCTTCTTTGGGGTACATTAAATTTTGAAAAATATCCAGTGTTTCCTAAATTAAAAAATGTTTAAATATAGTTATCCTAAAATTCACTGGCCATAGTATATGTACTGATATATTACGTATGAAATATTTTATATGGTTTCATATTACATATTTTCCTTTATTTTTCGAAAGAAGACTTTATGTTGATTTATGATATTCCATGGAAAATTATTACTTATAATTATTAATAATTGTTATTAATTATATATATATTATAATATTATATATTATATTATTGTAATTATTATAGTTATTATTAACCGTATAATTACTGAATGAGAAATTTTAGTATTGCAATATATAAAAAGTCTATCATAGCAGACCTAAAAGTTAATAATATTTATTGTCTTATGATTAATTGACATATTCTTGATAAATTCGTCAACGTTTTAAATACAATAGAATCCAACCATTAATTAAAATAAATCAAAGTAATTAAAAAAGGGTTATTCGTTTACTTAGACGCATGTAATAAAACACGAAACAGAGATATAATATTTACATACATTTATTACAAAATTTCCGAAATTTTGGGAAAAATCGAAAGTACAGTCATTATATGACTCCCACACGACTAACGGCGACTTTTTCCCACAAAGTTACAGAATCAGTTAAAACTAATGTGTAGCATAATAATAATTAGACCTCGTATCCACTTTCAGGAGAGATCGAAATCGCGGTTGATTAAAAATTTAATCGCTATCTATCGTTAAATTATTTCGAGGAATATACTGAAGTATCTTCTAATTTGTAATTTCAGAAATGCGTTGGTTTCGTGGCCACGCCGAGGCGCCAAGACTTTTAAGCCTAAGTCCTCTTCAAGCTGATGAAGACCTTGACGGAGCATCTTACCACTTTCATGCCGCGTCTCAGTACAGAGGTGAGAGTCGTGAGAAACCACCGATACAATTACCGCACTGCTAAAAACAGGATGCTACGTGAACTTTCATAATCCGAATTACAATCATTCCGGTTGTAATTAACCACTGATTGCGTCTCGAAATCGAACGTAACTCGAATTCCCAAACTTACATATCTCAGTGGATACATATTACATGTCTCTCATATGAATGCTAATATAGTACTGATCCTATGAATGCTAATATAGATCCTGGAATACACAAATCACTACTGCAAAATTATTTTTTTATTTCAGCAATTTGCATTTCTCGTCGAGAAATAAATATTACGAGTTTGTACGTCTAAGATAATATATTAAGTTAAGATCAGGATTTTGCAATAGGTTGATGATTAACTTTTTTTATTTTTTGTATTTTTGTAATATAAAATATGTTGCAAAATAAAACTTTTTTCGATTTGAGAAAGTAATTATTATTTATACTGAAAATATGGAAATTATTTTTCTGCGACCATGATGATTGATATATATATAAATATGGAGGTTATAAGTGTAATTAGGTTTGGTTGATACATGACAATTTTTCTGGAACAAAGTATGCCAGTGCATGACTGTCGCAAAATCATACGAGTCTAATAAATTGTAAAAATAGTAATTATAGAGTATAGAATAGTGGCTAATTTATAGTCATCACTCGTTATAAAAGATACAGTATTTACCATACCAAAATTATTTAAATTATTAGGCGATAAAAATAAGGACAATTATACTGTAAAAAAACGAATTTTATTCTATAATATCTATTGAGTAATTAAATTTGTAGAGTTTATATTCCTGAAAACGAATTTGCTATCAAAATTGCTCCATCGCCCTTAGTTTTCGAAAAATGTGAGTTTTTTTGAAACCCATGATTAAAATTTTTAAATGAAATATTACATAAAAAGTAGGAATATTAGAAGATTCATTCTTGTCTTATAAGTTAGACGAGGATAGCAATGTGTGAGTGTTAGTCTTGTGTGTATGAGTATGAGAGAGATTGAACGAGTGAAACTCATTTGTCTATAATTGCGCAATAAGTGATGTAAATATAATGTATCCGAGTGCCATCTTGTGTGAATGATGTTTGCAAAAATATTTAGAAGAATGTACCAGAATGAAACAGTTGTCAGAGAAGTATGAAAGAGTGAGCACGTAAATGTAATCGTTATTAAGAGTGAGTGAGAGAGAAGAAGCTTTTGGAAAGAGTACAATTTATTATTTAAATATTTTAACTTAAAAATACTTTGTGTGTTACTCGTTGAAGAGATTTTAGATATTATTGTCCATTCTACCCATGTAATGTTCATAATTATAATTATTTGCGCTTCTGAATAGCTATAATTGCTCATCAAAGTTTAAAAATAAGCTTTCGAGTGTACTTTCTACTCAGATTCTTGAATTTTTACGAAAAGATCTTTATATGACAGAAATTAGCTACATTGTAGCGTATTCTGTAGACATTGCTGAAGAAGAAACTATAGAACGGAATTGTTGAAACAGTTTTCGATTTGATTAGATGGAGAAATATTCGTCGCTAGCATGTATACGGGATTTTACCGCCACGCGGCCATTGTTCACTTGCCTAAACTCGGCAGTGCCATATCAACGCGTAGTCTGACAAGGAGAGTGCAAGTCCATCGGATTACCGATTTGGTTCAGATTTTACAGGTTTCTAAATCTTGTCATGCAGTTTAAGAAAATATACCATTATAGTGGCAACTACTAAGTAATTTTTGAGATATTTATGATTAAACTTCTATCACTACCTTAATTATCCATTTATTTTTAACAATTTACAAGTGGAGTCGTGGCCTAACGACGAGGGTGGACTATTTTTATTCTGGAGGACCGGGGTTCGATTCCGGTTCATGGTTAGTAGTTTTTTTTCAATATATTTTTTATTTTGCATTCATTTTTCGCCTATGAAAACATTGTAAATAAAATTCCTTTAAAAAAAAATTATTTTTTACCCTTTCTTATGCTAATATATATTTATTACTTAATAATAAGAATATTATGCAAGAAAAATACTTTTTTATAGTAACCTTATTTACTAGTAACTAATTATTAAATTAAACATTGTATAAGAATGTTACCTATAATTTCAACTTTGCCATGTAGCTATAAATGTCCATGAATTAGTAACAGAAACTTGGAAATTTATTAATTTTCTACTGCCGAATAAATAAAAATTTTACCGCCTGCGATCACCGCCATCTATGATTTGGACTCAAAAAGCCAGAAAGTGATAGGAATATAGAATAGGCAAGGAGGTCGTCGATGAGCTGGTCACGTGGTAGACAAGGATAGAGAGGGGATAGAAAAGGATAGAATGGCCCCTGCAGTGGGAAATTATTAATTACTCAATTTCCGTAAACAATTTGTGAACTTTTATAATTTTGATGCATAGCTGGAACTTCAGGCTACATTCTTAAATAACTTTCGTAAAGAATTTAACTCTAAATTGTTAGTTATTAATTTTTGTTTTATGGCGTCTATGATTTCGTAACGGCGACCATCACGATCTTCCGCGAAAATATTTAATACTAAACGAAACTAGAAGCAAAACGTGATCAAAAGCTATATGAGAAGATTCGCAAGAGTATTGTCTTTCCAACGAGTGCATAAAGTTTCATAAATTAGTTGCGTAGAGGATAGTAATTAATGAAAAACCAATGGCCTCTACGACAACAATTCAAACACTGCGCAGAATAATAATTAATATTAAATTAATTAGGGACAAATCTATAACGAAAAGTATATTGGAAAGTTTTTAAAGGATCTGCCTTTACGATGCAATTATAAAAGTTCATAAATTAATCACAGGAATTGAGTAATTAAATAATTTTCTAATAAAAATTCAAAAAGGAACAGTCAACGCCACCTATAGTTTTGTACTGGAACTATGGGAGCACAAGCTTCCAGATAAAATTCATAGGTAGCGCTGTCTGTTCCTTTTTGAATTTTTACTAGAAGATTAATTAATCACTCAATTCCTGCGATTAATTTATGAACTTTTATAATTGCATCGTAAAGGCAGATTCTTCAAGAACTTTCCAATATATTTTTCGATATAAATTTGTCCCTAATTAATTAATTATTAATTCTTATTCTACGCAGTGTTTGAATTGTTGTCGGAGACGCCATTCGTTTTTCATTAATTACTATCCTCTACGCAATTAATTTATGGAACTTTGTGCACTCCTTAGAAAGACAATGTTCTTGCGAATCTTCTCATATAACTTTTGATCACATTTTGCATCTAATTTCGTTTAGTATTAAATATTTCC